TTATTTACCTTTTCAAATGACATGTTTGAGAGCTCCTCTGCAGAAATGAGCAAATTTTAGTGTCATTTTTTTAAAAACTTTTCTTTCCCTCATCTCTACTGTACCACTTTTTCAATATTTTGTAAGGGATCAAAACGAAACCGAGGGAGATTGCTTTTGTTATACATGTTCATAAAGTAATTTTTAATTGTTTGGGATAGCCATAGTTGGTTAATTCGTCACACTTAATTAAAAAAAGTAATGGGTGAAAAGTCAGGATACTTTAGACTAGATTTAAAGCTTGTAGCTTGTGTGTAACAACTGAGTTTGTGTGATGCAACAGCTGTGAAGGCCAGCCTGACTCTGTTGCAGATCATGTTGAGTTAACTGTCCATCCTTCAACGCCGGGTCACGGTGTTAGCCTTTGACATCCGGTATGTAATTGCAACGCCACCTTATTTCAAATCATCACATTGTTTCTGTCACAAGATTGGCAGGCTCTGCTCCCGACAACTACAGCCAAAAAATACATGTAAAACTTACATGTGACATTTTAGTAACATTTAATCTAAATTAGAACATTTCACTCGCCTTTTTCTGCTCTTTGCCTATTCTTTTGTTTATTGCTGTAACACGGGATCTATTTTTAACTATGAATCACTGTCGCTGACATAAATAAGAATGAACTTTTTGTTTAGTTCAGCATGTCAATGCATTAGTTGAAGCACATTTCTTAACATTTAGCTGTAATTCTTTTCATCACAGTATCTTTTCCAATCCAAAAGCATGCTTGATGGACTTGCACTGATGGTAACCTGCAGTAACTGATGCATGTGAACATCAGCAACCCCTGGAAAGGAAGAAGTGGGTAAAGAAAAAAACAGCATCAAAATGCGTGGCTTAAATTGAAGTGGTGTGACTTTTGGCAGCGATATATCATACAAAGCTGACAAATTTGACCCATTTTTTAAAAAAAAAACTAGAATAAAATGGAACATTTTGTGAAATTGGTGAGAAAACTGAGTCGTCTTTGGAGCTGAACACCTGTCAGGGAGTGATGGATGCAGGTGTGCAGTTACTATGTTGACTCAAATGAGCCACTGGTTAATGCTTTAATACACAGTATATTTTTATTTCACTTATTATGCAGTTTATACATCAAAAGATCAGCATTTTGTCCACTTAAGTTATTCTTCTTTTTTGCTAAAATTCAAAGGCAGCCACTAATGTCTATGTGTGAGTGTATATGAGACCGCCTGTTACTAAAACATCTGATGAAACACTGGACAAATTTTAATAAAACTAGCAGAAAGTAATCACTGGATGTATTTTTACAAGTGAATTATGTTTGAAGCTAATATGAGGAGTTGGCAATGGTGAGTCCTTGCTATTCTATCAGTTTATGGATCAGTGATCTGTGCAGTTGTTCTAAACTCAGTGATTAATTTTTTAATCTTTCATAACCCACCGTTGATTGTAATTGTTACTTTACATGTTGCATGAGTTGATTAAACGTTCATTTGTTCCAGTGCTCCGACTCCAAATCTTCATCCTGATTAGCCATATGATCAATGAAGTTACAACCAATACAGACTGACTGAGTGTATGCCTGGCACGTCTTTCCTATCAGACAAGACTATCAACAATAGCCAGTCTGTTGACCACCAGCCTACGCAGGTTGGCTAACCCTGCTAGCAGCTGTGATATCATCTGTCCGCTTTGTTCTAAATATCTAGTGTTTAAGCGAAGAACAACTCATTCAAAATTTGCTCTCTGTTAAATTAGACTTTTTTGTGCTTAATCAAAACTCAGCAACATCTCGACTTTTCTCATCTTAAGTCTGACCTCAACTCAAATAGCATTTGTTAACATCTGTCAACCATGTAGCTCATGTCATGGTCTTTTATTGTTTGCACTAAATCCACTTATTACTATGAATCAATCCATTTCAATGAAAGCAATTCCAATGCATTTTCAATTCTCAACAAAACTTTCCAAAACCCATTTTCTTTCTTACTACATGTTCACTCTGTTTCTTTCTCTGACTTGTGTCTTTTTTAACAAAAAGTTCATAAAATTCACCTGCTTCTCTCCCTGTTATTAATACCTCCTCCTCCCAGCCCTCATTACCATCCTACTCTTTCTTTGCTTTTCTTCTCCCCTCCCCTTCAAACACTTTTGATTCATCAAGTTCAGGTCCTTCTGTTCATTAGATCACCTCCCCACCTTTGCTCCCCACCCTCCATCTCTGTTATTATCTATTCATCACCAACCGTTGTTCCTATTATCTTTAAAACTGATCTCTAATTTACCTTTTCTCTCTAAATAATAAAAAAAAATTGTCACTACTCAACTTCATTCGAGCAATCTTTACGAACAATTCTGGTCCAGTTTCTGTCCTTGATACAGCCCAGTCCATGGGAATCATTACCTTATCTTGACAGTAAATATTTAGAGGAACATAAAACATGTTGGGTATTTCATTTAAAAGGAACTCCAACATTAGACGTTATTTGAAAACCATTTACTTCCACTATAAAAACAAAACTGTAAATATTCAGTAGCCGGTTAAAGTTTCATGACTTTTAAAGAGATATTAGCTGCGTTTCCACTGACCATGAAAATATGCAAATTAGAATTTCAAAAATAAATTTGCTCAACGGAAACACGTCAATTTCGAAAAAAATTCCTTTTTTCAACAAAATGTTTTTTGCGCTAGTATGAGGTGTTTTTTTGGCCGTATCGAAATTGGTGTGTTTCGCAAAACTACAATGGAAACACTTTTTTCACTTCACGGGAGTCACGTGATCAAAACCAGCTGTTTCTACTGGCGAAGAAGATGACAAAGAAGACAACAGGAAGTAGAAGTAGTAAAATCACCAAAGTTGTAAAAGAAAGTAGTAAACTCACCGACTACAATTTCCCAAAAATACTGCATACGTAGCCGCTCCCAAGTATARGGGGCTTGTCACTCGAAAGCCTCGATAAAAGACGCCGACGTCTCCTCTGATGATGAGCGCTAGTGTCGCGGTAGCAATTATGCATGTGTTTACATCCATTGCTGCCATGTTTRTAATGACTTATTGCGAGAACAAACGTATTCACGCGAGAATTTAATAGCATTTCTTACTTAATGGAAACACCCCAAYTGCGAAACTGTGTTTTTCGACATTAACAGAATATCGACAACGTTTTGTGCACATTTGCAATGGAAACACAGCCAGTGTTACATGGACATCACCATGTTATTTACACTGCAAAGCACTCTGGGTAAATGATAATGCTTGTTAGGTGTTCCAGTGCTAGTTCTTTCCAGCTTGAAGGTTAGTTCTGGAAAATATCCGACGTCAGCCCTTTTCTGTATATCTGTTCAGTCCTTTTAAATGAAGCCACACTGTAAAAAATGAAATGTTGGATTTACTTAACCATGTTATGTGACCTGGTTCCACTTAACTGARTTGAGTTAATTCAAAGCAACATACCAGTTTTTTAACCAAAGAACATGAGCATGTTGCTTTGAATTCACTCAACTCAGTTAAGTGGAACCAGGTCACATAACATGGTTAAGTAAATCCAACATTTCATTTTTAGAGTGCAGAGCATGGAGGGTTATATAGATCCAGAGCTTTTTTAGTAAACTTCATGTTTGCTTTTCAACTCATATATTGTGCAGAACTTATGCAAACTTTATTGTCACACATCACAGCTTCTTAGCCTTGACTCTGTGCTTTAGTGTCAACTGTAACCCATCGAATACATTGTATCAGTAACAAAATGGCAACATGCTTAAGTGAAAAGAAATGTGATTTTTTTAAATCAGTTAGATGTTTTCATGTGTCAAACCAACTTTAAAACAGAGAGGCCAACATTCTGAGATCCCTTTAAGGAATGCTACACCTTTAATAACCAAAAATAACGATGTGTTGAGATGTTTTGGTCAGCAGCTCATCGACACCCATCAGAACTGCTTCAGAACAGAACTGTTCTAGTTTATAGAAATTGGGCTGACTGTCCCTGTGGCCCTGACAGTGATGATTAGAAGGAGCATAATGATGATGAAGCAAAAGTGGTGCGGCCCCCCTGCCATGATGCGCCACATTGTAACCCCCACCCCCCCCTCTATTTTAAACAGCCGTGGCTCCGTGGAACATCATCTGTGCGCCTTTGTCCCACTGACACAGCTGACAGCACCACCGGCTCGGCTCAGATCGGCTCGGCTCGGCTCCTTTAAACGAGCCTTTGCGCATCGCCTTTCGAATCGCCACAACCGCATCAGCACCGGGGCTGGGGTGGTTGCTTAGCAACTGGACAGCGCAGAGATCCCTGAAGAAAAACCTCACCTCCTCCTCCTGTCGGAAACACAAGCCTCTGTTTGTGTGTGATTCTTAGATTGTGATGTGCGCGTGTTCGCCATCTCCAGCAGCAGGAATGTTTATGTCTCAAAAAAAAAAAAAAAAAAAAAACATCTCAAACACACAGAGTGTATTTTAGAGTTGTGGCACACTGGCAGCATCCTAATGGGGCAGCAGAGAGGGAGAATTCAGCACGTGAGCAGCCTAAGGAATTCTCCTTAGGCCCACCCCCCATCCCCCATCTCAGTGGGACAATATTTGAAATTAAACTAAAGCAAAAGAAAAAAAAAGGAGGGAGGCAGAGGAAGCTTTTTATTTTATATATATATATATTTTATTTTCTTTAAATACCCTCACCAACCCTGAGCTGTGATGAAGTGTTTTGGCGCCATCCATGTTCCTCCCTTTCATTTTTATTTCCATCAGAGCAGTGATATAGCTTTGCTCTGACGTCTGCATCAGATATTACCGAGGTGCTTTTTCAATGTGCATTTTCCCCTCAGTGACTTTGCGCTGATCTACATCATCATCATCATCATCATCATCATCATCATCATCATCATCATCATCATCATCATCATCAGTAGCGGCAGCAGCAGCGGCGGCAGCAGCAGCATCAGCAGGGGGGGGGCGAGAGAAACGGAAAGAAAGAAAGAAAGAAAGAACTAAAGAAAGACATAGGGGGGGAGAGGATGAAGATTTCATTTTTCTTTTTTCCCCTTCTTTTTTTTCCTCCTCTTCTTTTAACCCACCGCTCCCCCCTTCCAGCCGACCATCGTTTTTTCAGCTGAACCCAGCATCTATCAGCAGCGTCACATCGTGGTGATCCGGACCGGGAGCGTCTCTAGAACCATGCCTCTCCTGCAGATCTGGACCGGGAGATTTCAGCCTCCGATGTGATCGTCAGGAGGCTGCTGCTCAGTCATTCATGTGCTCAGTCTCTCTCTCTCTCCCTCTCTCTTGTTTTTCTTTTTTTTTCTTTTTTTTCCCTAAAGGAGGACTTGTCATCACTTTTAAAAGTATAGTGTAGGCTGTTTTTTTTTTTCCTTTTTTTCCTCCTTTTTTTTTAATTTGAGCAAGATGTCTGATCTTCTGGTGTTGGTCGAGGGGCTCTGTGACCTGCACGGGTTTCCATAGCTGAGGGGGACGAAAAACAGCAGGAATCAAACACCTGATTTTTATTTTTTTTATAAACATATTTTTCTCAGATCATGAAGAGTCATGAAGAAATCGCATGCGTCAATGTAGGGCAGCTTGTTCGACCATTTTAAAAGGCAATTATTGTTTTGATTGCCCTTTTTTATATATTTCTTCTTTGATTTTTATATTTTTTTTACATTTATTTTGTGAACCTTCCGGAGGACCACTGGACTGGTTGGATTATAGGGGCTCTACCTATCAGGATTTGTGGAGATGTTGGGTCGTCAAGAAGAAAAATTATGTGGATTTTTCTCAGCTTTGTCCTTCATATGCTTTGTTCAAAGGTAAGAAAATGGACCCTCAGGAGGGGGGAGGTGAGAAGGGAAGGAAACTTTCACACTAATAAACCAGATTAACGATCAATCAAAGGGCTGAAATGTGGCAAATCGCATTAACAGGGTACCCAGGCCTGCTTATTGGGGGTGGGGTGAGGGGGGTGGGGGGTTGCCGATATATATGCTCTATTATAGAC